TACCAAATGGTGTAAACTACCTATTGTTGACAATTGACCACTGTAAAAGTGGTCATATGTGGTCAACAATACATAATAGAGTAAACGAACTATTGTTGACATTTTACCACTGTAAGAGTGGTCATATGTGGTCAATAATAGCTAATGGAGTAAATTACCTATTGTTGACACTTGACCACTGTAAGAGTGGTCATATGTGGTCAACAATACCTCATGAAGTAAACGAACTATTGTTGACATTTTTGAAATCGGCCGAGTAGTTTTTGAGTTTTTTCAATACATACAACAAAATTTTCCACAATAAAGGACCAGTGTCCAGTTACATAAATTCAAGAACCTATTAAGTATAAAGCTTTGAATACAAATATAAAATTAGTTACTAACTTGTGTTCATGTAGATACGCCAGCAGCTGGTTGCCGGGCCGCCATGATGGAGGGGGCAACAGATCCTCCCCACCCTCTCCATTATCTTCATGACTCCTAAACAGAAAAATACATTTAAAGTAGACAAATGTCCATAAATTTCTATAATTTTTTATACTTTTTAATTGTAAATGTCGAAATTCAAATGCACAAATGAAAAAGAAAGCCTTTGACATTGGATAACAATTACCGTTACCATGGCAATCTTGCTTCTGTTATGTTGTCAGCTTGTAGTTTCTGTCCCTTTTCCACAGGAAAGTTTCTTTCAATTTGTTTACCCTCCAAAGTTTAATAGCGTAATCATATATAGCCTAAAGTGTTTCGTAAGTGTAGAGCTTTTTATTAAAGAAATAATTATTCAAAAATATACTGAGATTGCTGACATCCTACGTATCTAAGTATGTGTTTACGTTTTATTATATTTTTATAAAAATATAGATGATAATATAGACATATTTAAATATTCCGTACCTTAAAGACTTTTGATATTTCTGCTGCATTCGCGCCGTCAAATTACGTAACTCTATCCGGCAGGGGGCCATGCTGTCTACCAACAAGCGATAAACAACTTTATTCACATTGCATAAGGTTAAAATTAAAATGGTATAGCATATATTTAAAAGTTATGATGTTTTTTTTAAATTTTTACGCTAATTTGTAATTTTCAAGCAAAGCAAAGCTAACAAAAGGCCTATTTTGAGTCCTATTTACCAGTGAGTGTTTTTGAGGATAATAAATGTGTAGTTTTGTATGCTGTTGATGCTATGAGTGATTTTTCGGAACTAACACACACTTCATTAAATTTTAGTTTCGAAACACTCACACATATTTTTTTTTTTTATTGAAAACATTACATGACACAAATTAAAAAATATGTACAAATATGGCCCCGCAAAAACCATATAATTGGTTTGTCCGCGGGTGCGCTGGTTTTTTTTGTGTAGAATTACATAAAATACATACTTATATAAATAAAATATGATATATACTGTATATATTTTATGTGTCTTGTGGGAACTATGGTTTTTCTTTTAATAAATCTTACAACAAAATTAATTTTCATCGAAATCCGTTTAGCCGTTTAGGGTACAAACTCTAACAAACGTCCATCCATCCATCCATCTAAACTTTCGCATTTATATACTGGTAAGATTATTTCATGAGCGGTTTAAATATTTAGTATATATTAGACGCACATTGCACATAGCTGGCGCTGTGTCCGAGCTGCGAGTGTTGTGCGGGCAGGCCCGCAGCGCCCATCCCGCCCGCAGCGCTCGCACCGCTCACTCCGCTCACTCC